GAACCGGCTCCGCCCGGGAACCAATCAGGAAGAGTCCCTTGTTCGCGCGCTTGTATTTCCCGCGCCAGTATTCAACACTTCGTCCAATGGCGCACAAAAACTCATGCCATAATTATGAATATTTTAATGCTTCTGGGAGTTGAAGTTTACAAGTCATAAAAGGACCATTGTCCCCCACCCCTGTCATATTATTGTTAGTTGGGAAGTTGTGTCCGACCCATTGCAACCCCATGGACAACGTTCCTCCAGGCCTTCCTGTCCTCTATCATACTCTGGAGTTCCTTTAAGCTCACGCCTACTGCTTCGGTGACTCCATCCAGCCACCCCATTCTCTGTCGTCCCCTTCTTCTTTTGCCTCAATCTATCCCAGCATTAGGCTCTTCTCCAGTGAGTCCTTCCTTCTTGTAAGGTGGTCAAAGTATTTGAGTTTTATCTTCAGGATCTGGTCTTCTAAAGAGCAGTCAGGATCATAGACTCTGTCATGACCCCTGTCATAGATTCTTCTTAAATATAATGCCCATTTGAATCTTTGACTTCTGACCCTGCATCCAATGGCCCACAAAAACTCATGCCATAATTATGAATATTTTAATGCTTCTGGGAGTTGACGTTTACAAGTCATAAAAGGACCATTGTTCCCCACCCCTGTCATATTATTGTTAGTTGCGAAGTCTGGTCCGTTGCAACCCCATGGACAACGTTCCTCCAGGCCTTCCTGTCCTCTATCATATTCTGGAGCCCCTTTAAGCTCACACCTACTGCTTCGGTGACTCCATCCAGCCATCCCATTCTCTGTCCTCCCTTTCTTCTTTTGCCCTCAATCGTTCCCAGCATTAGGCTCTTCTCCAGTGAGTCCTTTCTTCTCATTAGGTGGCCAAAGTATTTAAGTTTCATCTTCAGGATCTGGCCTTCTAAAGAGCAGTCAGGATCATAGACTCTGTCATGACCCCTGTTGTAGACTCTTCTTAAATATGATGGCCATTTGAACCTCTATCTTCTGACCCTGCATCCAATGACCCACAAAAGCTCATGCCATAATTATGAATATTTTAATCTTTTGAAATTTTGGGGTATCCTTGTTAAATATTCAGGAAGTATGGCAGAGTGGTTAGAATGCAGTACTGCAGGCTACTTCTGCTGACTGCCGGCTGCCAGCAGTTCGACAGTTCAATTCCCACTGGCTCAAGGTTGACTCAGCCTTCCATCCTTCCGAGGTGGTTAAAATGATGACCCAGATTGTTGGGGGCCATAGGCTGACTCTGTAAACCGGTTAGAGAGGGCTGGAAAGCACTGTGAAGCGGTATATAAGTCTAAGTGCTATTGCTATATCACTGATGCAGCAGAGCACAGCTCCTGTTTATTCAGGTCCAGCATTTCCTGAGTTGCCATGTGCGTATCATACCTTTATGGTAGTTTAAAGAGTATGAATGCGTGTTTAGGGGAATATGGTAATGATCCATATAAATAACAACTACGTGTAAGAAAATGAAATGGGAGCTGTTTTGTTTATTACTCAGCCAGTCTGGAATGAATGGATGCTGTTGTACCTTACGTGAACTGAGCCCAGCGCTCCTCCCCATGTTTCCTAACCCCTGGAAGAGAAAAGTAGGGCGCAGCCCATCCATTAGCGTTTGCCAGCCTTTGTTTTTAGCAGTGCAGCTTGTTTTATGTATAAAAAGCATTAGAGGAGCCCCTGTGGATTGGATCAAAAGCTTATCTAATCCATCATCCTGTTTTCTACACTGGCCAGCCAAGTCCCTCTGGGAAGCCCACCGGCTGTTTGGGAGGTCATGTCATGTTGTTCCCTAGCAAAGGAGGCCTGTTTAAAAGGCTCGTCGGAGATGCCGCACCAGGTCACCATCCTAACCAGATCTTGTTCATTTCCTCATCCAACATAATTTCCCCCAGGCCATAAATAGCAGCTGGCAAGTTGGATTCATCTGGTGGGGCTAAACGGGATGGCGGACATATCAGTGTGTAAATATGGGTGGGTATGGAGATAGGGGTGCACCAGACATTTTCTCTTCTGTGGTTCTTCAATTAACTAATTTTTCACCCATGTCTGTTTTTCCCTGCTGTTCTCGGGTATCAAATCTGGGTGTTGAATTGGGGTCGTTTCCCTTTCTTCTTCTTTTTTTTTTAAAAAATTAAAATTAAATTTATAAAAATACAAGTGAAATGAAAATGAAAATAAGGGGGAATGGGGAGAGATAAGTATGGAATAAAGTAGAGAGGGAGGGAGGGAGAAAGGAAGGAAGGAAAGACAGAAGGAAAAAAAGGAAGGAAGGAAGGAAGGAAGGAAGGAAAGACAGAAGGAAGAAAAAAGGAAGGAAGGAAAGACAGAAGGAAGGAAAAAAGGAAGGATGGAAGGAAGTAAGGGAGAGGGAAGGAAGGAAGGAAGGAAAAAAGAAAGAAAAAAGAAGGAAGAAAGAAAGAAAGAAAGAAAGAAAGAAAGAAAGAAAGAAAGAAAGAAAGAAAAGCATTTACTCCTGGCTCTTTTCAGTGCTGTAGAATAAAATAATAACATGAGAGCATCAACTTTTTATTTTTGCATTCCTAATAATGTACCAGCCATATCTATAACAACAAACATATCTAATCAGCAAATCCCTTTTTTTTCTCTCTCTCTCTCTCTCAAGCACAAAATCCAGAAGCGGTTTCCAAATAGAAAACCGAGTTGGATGTATTCTTTTTTCTTTTCCCTACCTCCTGCCAGCACTCCACCAGATGTGATTGCAATCGCAACAGAGAGGGAGATCTGTTTGCTTGCCTACTGCATGTTTATTCTGAACAAAGCACAGAGTAGTCTTTCAGGAAAAAAAGGGCGCCTGTTTCTAGAAGAATGAGGGTGCGCGCTTGAATTGTACGCCTCTGGTTTTGAGGTCCAGGTATTTCTCCATCCAAGTGGAAAGAACGCCCTACTTATCCTTGTTCTTGTTCCACTTCTAACCTAGAGGGTGGGATCTCCATCCTGTTGTGTGTTTTTCTGCTCTCATCCCCCCATAGTTTGCAGATTCAGGGAGATCTTACTACCGCTGAGGTTGAAACAGATTGGATCTCTGTGGTTCTATACCAACTTTGCCTGCCAGGTTGATAAGCTCAGATTCCGCTCTTCCTGGCACATTCTCTTTCTCCTTCCTTGCCCATTGCCATCTCTCACATGTTCTCCTATAAATAGCTGAGATTCTGCAGGTTGCTGTGGTGACAGCGGCTGGGTGAGAGATCCAGCCGGGTGTAAGGGGGAGGGGGGAGGTTGGTGCTGAGAAGAGGGCAGAGCAAAGAGTGAGGTCACTTGCTTTGACCCCCCCTCCCTCCTTTTTACTTTTCTCCCCCCCCCCTTTGCTTTGCTGAGCTGATGGACCTCATTTGCTTCCTGGACTTCAAACATGTTACATCCGTTGGCACTCTGCAGCAGGCGATGCCCATCTAAATGGGGCATCTCCTGGCCAGGGAGTCTCACTTTCCTCTTCCCCATCCATCTTGTTTTCCAGAGGCGCCTTCTCAGAGGTGGTGCTGGCAGAAGAGAAATCGACTCAGAAATTGGTGGCCATCAAATGCATTGCCAAGAAGGTGCTAGAAGGAAAAGAGACCAGCATTGAAAACGAGATTGCCGTGCTGCACAAGTGCGTGGTACCTTCTCCTCATTTCTCATTTTCTTCCTTCCCTTATGAGTCTGGCTCGGAAAAATAGATACTGGATCTTTTCCGAACTGGGACCAATCAACTTGTTTTGGAAAGCTTAGAAGCAAGGCAAACCAGGAGCAACTAATCTCTATTGCAGGAGTGTCAAACTCAAGCCTCGTGGGCCGCATCTGGGCCCATGGGCTGCTTAGATCCGGCCCATGGGGCCGGATTGGAAACAGCAAAGGACCGGCCCACAGTGCCTCTGCCAGCAAAAAGGGAGCTTGGGAGGGCTGCACACGGCCTTTCCCGAGCTCCATTTTCGGCTGCGATAACCTCCTGCAGCCCTCTGCCAATGAAAACGGAGCTTGGGAAGGCTGCGTGTCATTCTCCCGGGGTCCACTTCCCTGGCAGAGGGCCGCAGGAGGCCATTGCAGCCGAAAATGGAGCTCCTTTGCTGGCAGAGGACTGCAAGACATTGAACTAGCCAAGCTCCTGGCCACGCCCACTCCCCCCACCCAGATCAAACACAATCCTGATGCGGCCCTTAATGAAGTTGAGTTTGACACCCCTGCTCTATTGCATCTGTCCGAGATTTTGATTCTTCACACATCATGAGGAATTCGGGTTAGGAACGTTGTCCTGTTGCTTGTTGCTTTTTTGTCGAGTTGCAAATGTGCAAAAGGATGTTACATGTTTGTGGCGCACTGCCTTTTTTATTGCATAAGTGAGCAGCAGGGCAAAGGAGAAATCCTGGCACAGGTAGTCCTCGACTCACAACCACAATTGAGCCCCACATTTCTGTTGCTAAGCAAAATCTAGGCTAACTCCCCATTCTACGACCTTTCTTGGCACCGTTGTAAATCACTGAAATGGTTGAGTTAGTAACTTGGTTGTTCATTGAATCTGGCTTCCCCGTTGACTTTGCTTGTGAGAAGGTTG